TTCCTGTTGATCACTGAAAAACTTCGAATCAATGTTCAATCTACACTTACTAATTTCGAGATTTATCAAGAGATGTTCAAAGTTGTTCATGTCCTGTTTCTTGAGCGATAATAAAAATATTACTCCTCGGAATTTAAACGAATAGAAATATCCACGATACGTGGATACATCCTTCTTACGTTTATTCCTCTGCATCTGATTCTCTCCTTTAAAGCTAAATAATTTGCAACAGTTACAAGTTAGAATTTGAGACGGGAAGTCGGACCGCAAAAGTCGACCGGCCGACCGTTTAGACGCGCGCGGTGATAAAAGTTAAAGCGGTGCAGGATCGGCTCAATTACCCTAACGAATCCATTAATTAAAAGTTAAATCGAGTGTGTGTGTGTGTTCGTTTCGGTTCATTATTCACTGGGTTACCGATTATTACTTTCACCGTGAGAATTAATCCGTGAGAAACTTTGGCTCGGATGGAGTCGAGCGGAATCGTTCCTCTTCTGCGATTGTCACTTCCGTTTCTCGCGACATCTAATATTCTCTCTCTCCCTCTCTGTTCGATGTATATCCTGTATACAGCTTGTACACGTATGTTTGGAAAATGTTTTTCAACCGTTGAACGGAGGCATCGAGCATCTTATGAATTTCCTATGCAGGGGACGCGTATTATAGGATAGAGGCGCGAGGGGAGAGGGAAATATCTATCGGGATATTTCTATTGGAAAGTTTACCGGAGGACGATGATGGAATGACGAGGTTCGTGGAAGATTATCGTGGAAGGAATTCGAGGCCCATTCCTCGATGTGGAACTCGATTTTATATTTTCTCGATCGATACCCCTTTCGCGATCGGGAGGAGGGAGGGGAGGAGGGTGGATGCAAATATTTGAAAGACGATATATTCGGGTAAACGTTGGATCCTTTCGATTAATATTATAGCTCGATCGAGAATATTTGGATTGCGTAGAAAGAATTTTTCTCCTGAAATATTCACTTCCTTTCCTTATCCCCGGGATTCTTCTTTAATCCTTCAGAATTCTTTGAGATATTTTTTTATATCTTACGCCCCCACTTTTTCCCCCTAGCTGCTTGCTAAATTCTTGATGAAATATTATTATAGAAGCGTGGCTCTCAACTTTGCCGGATTCTTCCTCTTCCTTCTCCTCCTCCTCCTCCTCCTCCTCTTCTCTTCTCTCGCCTCGAACTCTGACCCGGTTTGTCTTTGCCTCGCAAAAGGCATTTGCGAACGAACCGATTGGAATGCAAAGTCAAAGCGAATGGATAGGGGAGTGTGTTTGACTTATCGTTAACTGTTGACTCGGGCAACCCGTTTCCTACGAAACAACGGAGGATCAGAGGAGGGCAAGAAACCGAGACTTGCGTCATGGAACATGGAAACATCGACGCCGTTGTTTGCTCCCGTGAAGATCGATTTCGATAAGCTTCGAGTTTCCGAAACGTTTCATGAAATCCGAATTTTTGGGAGAAATATTATACCCGTGCCCATTTTCTTTCCAGCTTTTATGCCTGATTTCTATCTTATCTTGAGAATTGAGAGTTTAGGGGTTCGTGACTGGGATTCAAAGTAAGTGCAAAGTGATTGAACGTGGTCTACTTTCGGAAATTTAAGCCTCGAGTAACTCGACTTAAAATATTTATAGTTTTTCGTATCTTATTGCCGAGTAATCGAAATCGGCTCGAAATCGATCTTGCAGCGGATCTGTTTGTAATTTAAACAACATTATAAGGAAGCAAATTTAATTCGAATTAATTAATAAATTTAAACTTTTAATTTTATTCATTAGATTCAAAGATATCCCTCTTTCCGTTAGATAAATCTCAATATGTGTAAAATTTGTAATAATGATAAATAATCGTTTTTTTACCGACATCTACCTATCACGAACCTGCCCCTATCTCGCTGCAAGATGCTCGATTATTCACGAGACGCCTGCCCAAATTAAAGCTCGAACTACTGGAAGGAACGTGAGAGCGTTTTACAGCGGGCGGATCAGATTTTCAGTAGATTGGATAAACAATGGTGGCGGCCTCTCCGCTTCGAAAACACTTCTGTGAGTGTAACACGGGGATGGAACGAGAGAGAGAGAGAGAGAGACTCGGAAGGGTAGGAAGTAACCCTGGCGGATAGTTACACACCGTCTGATTGAGAGCAGCGAGACCTCTGGGCATTGTTTAGAACAATGTGATCGTAACAGATGCAAACTGCGAGTAACGCAGCAGTGTACAGTGCTGTTTGCAGACTAAACATTGATTCTCACGTTCCTTCCGCGCGCCCCAAGTAGTAGAACGAGTCGATATATCCGCGACATTAACAATTCTCGCTGTTAATTCCCCTTTTCGCCGAAATTAATCCAAATTCTGTTTCAATTTGATACTCGTAAATAAATTTCTAAACAGAGCTTCTTGTGGTCTCAAGAAATGGAATGCTTCCCGAGAAATTGTCTTTCTTTTGCCTCCAATTGTTTAATTTATATTTATAAGTAGACTAATTTTAAATATATCACATCACGTTTTTTTTAGATCAAGAAAGTAATTTTAGAAGATTTATCCTAAATTTATTTCCACAAACAATTTTTACGTGATTCGTTTCTATTTTTATTAAAAATATATAGCATTATAATCGTGAAAAAGAATGACGGTTTACAATTTATATCGAGATATTATTTTCATAAAAAAAAAAAAGAAAAAAACACGTACCTTTCTCCTTTGCATCAGCCCCTCGAACACAAAGTTTCTCTCGTCGTTGAACACGAGGGACGGAAAGGGGCGGATCGCTGAGGGGTTGAGCCGGGGTACACCGGCTGTAATATATGTTCGGCCAATTTTCTCGGCGATATTCCCTTGGATTTATGGGTTATTAATTTTATGAACCTTCCGAGTGTCTTAGCCTTTAACCAGGCGCACGTGTCCCACTGACAATATCTCAATTACAACGGTCTAGTAACGAGTAACGATCCAGATATACGAGTCGCGCGTCTTCCACCATTATCGTCATCCCTCCTCGAGCTCTTCACGCTCAATTATCTCTCGTTTGAATCGCGGTTTTAACGGGTCTAATCTACCACGTGTACGCGCGTCGAAACGAGTGGAATCGTTTTAACTGGTCGGAACAGAACGGTATCGAGTTTGTCACGAATTCGTACGAGGATCGATACAAGCTTCTGAAAATAATTGGTTGATAAGATTTTGACGGGATATTGGTTTCTTCGAATCGATGCAAAAATATTTTTACATCTGTTTGAGAATTAAACGTTTTAATTTTTATGCTCTCTTTCTTCTGGGATCATCTTTAATTTCTCGGTTTAAAAAAAGACCGATGCGATGGTTCATGGTATGGACGAATGTTTACGTTACATCGAAATTGATAAATCAAAGTGATGATCGTTTAGGGAATATCGAATATCAAACGACAAATTTCGTGGATTTCGTAATAAGTCCATCACCAGTTGCGAAGTCGTATGCAAAGTGGATAATTTTCACGAGGAAGGCGAAGCGACGAAGCTTCGATATTAATATTTTCGTTAATTACATTTACGAAATCGAGGAAAATGTTTCTCCACCGTTTTCAAAAGTGTTTCCGTTTCATTAACCACCGAAGAGCGGCTAGTCAAATCCACGTCCCCGGAACACCATCCCCTTCCACGAATCTCGAGAGGCAGCAAGAAGCAAACTTCCGCGCCTATTTTCTTTAAGTTTCTCTAATAAAGCTACGTTTATCTCCCGGCGAAAGATCGACGAAAGTAAGATAAACACGCTAACGAGAGAAGCTTCGTTTCAATCGACGTTTCAACCCTCCTTGAAGGGAAGGTGGGCTGGCGGCTCCGTCATCTTTGCCAACTGTCTTCGTTTCTCTTTCTCCAACAGGGTCCAAGCTTGATTAATTAAAACGTTAATACAATTAATTCTCGTCTTGTCGAAGGAAAGGGGGAGAAATGTTCCTGGACGGAGGCTGGGCCCCGTCTGGGAACATTTACGCGCGTCGAGGGTTGGTCTAACAAGCCGGAAGACATATCCTCGATCCTTTGATTCTCCTCTCGTTTAAACATTTGCACTGTCGACTTAGAAACTTTGGGACAATAGATTGTAGATTTTGGCGAGCGAAATCCATCGACCTGATTTATATACATCCGTTTCAATCCATCCTCGGATCTTCTCGCGTGTACAAACGAATTTTCAAGAATTTTTTTTACTTGTTCGTTGCTAAATAATCAGATTTAATTTGTCTCCAAGATAATAGATCTAATCAATCGACGAAATAAACAGAATTTCTTATTCTTATACGAAGGAACTCTCTCATTTATCAAAATAATTAATAATTTAAAATTCTATACGCACGTAATCAATTAATTCTCCTTAACTCAAGATTTGAACACGAATGATGAAAATTTCTGAAAGGAGAAAAAAGGGGCTTCCCTCCTTCTTTAAAAATCCATTACGCTACGATTAATTTCCTTGGCAAGGGAGTAAATATCTCGGTGAGTGAGCGCCGGCGAAAAGACCTCCGCGGAAATAAAGAAACGAGCGACATTAATGCGATTAACTCGGGGAGATAAAGATAGGTTCGGCAAAGGTTCGGTAAAAAGAAAAAGAGAGTTGGTGCAGCATCATTGCACTCGTCTCGTCCTCGAAAGTCGAGGGGTTGCTGTTGGGTTCCCACCCTTCTCACTCAGACGAAGGGTTCCAACAACGCCTTCCAAGTATTGTATTCCTGCTACCTGTCCCTGCTCTCTCTCTCTCTCTCTCTCTCTCTCTCTCTCTCTCTCTCTTTTCTCGAGGCAAACCGCACCGCGTCCTTTATTTTCGGGTAATGTTGCGTGATAACAACCAACGCTGCTAGCTCTCCCTCCCGACTGCGGAATTGCTCCGTCGGGACGATTATTAATATTGTCGGTTGGGTTGCGAAGAGGGATCGGATCGTTAACAGAGAGAGAAAGAGAGAGAGAGAGAGAGAGAGAGAAAGAAAGAGGAAGAGGGAGAGGGAGAGCGTTATCCGCGAAAGTTCGCTTTATTTGCTAATTTTTTTGGAGGTGATGGAGTTCTTAAACACGAATGTTATAGATTATTGTATTATTTTTCTAGGATAGTGGATTTTATTTTGAAAGAAGAATTAGAAAGGAGGAAAGTGCGAGTAGTTGGAAATAAATGGATTTTCAATAAAATTTTATAAAATTTCTTTTACTATAGATTTTGAACTGATCTTTTGGACTCACTGTTGTTATTAAATCTGGAGAATACAGAGATTTTTTTCTTCTACTTGTTTCCACAATTTTCTTCTACTTGTTCGTAAAAGCGTTCAGATATGTGGGAAGGATGATGAAAATTGTACACGACTGATTCCTGAAATAGTAGCTACTTTATTACGAATACGAATACCATTCATCATACGTCACAAGTGAAAAATATCGTTCGAACGGATTTTATCGACAGATTTTATTATGTAATATAAACTTATGTGTTATACATTGCTACATGTTTTTTTTTTTTCCCCTTGCTTAACGGCTAATCCTATCGGCTAGATCCTTAGAGGCTAGAATGCACAGTGACTTGTACAGAATCATCCTCCTTTCCTTACCTTGAGAGTCGCTTCCTCTCATTGATTTGTCATTGTCTTCCGTGAACCGTTTCAGGGAGAAGAGAGAAAGAGAGGAAGAAGCGTATTCGCGTTTCACGAGAGGAGGAAGGGAAATAGAACGCGAAGTACGTCGTAATTAAGTATAGCTACGAATCGAAAGATTCGAGGGGAAAAGTTTTTCAAGGGAAACGTAAAAGGGGTTTGGAAGAAAGGAAGGAAGGAAGGAAGGAAATATAGTGGGAAAGGATAAGATACACATTTATACGGGCGTCTCTTTGGTAACATCCTCCTCTCTCTCCTCTTGTTATCTCGCGCTTTTATTTCTTAGGCAAAGTACAACTGCTCCTTCTCTCCCCCCTTGTCGTTGAAAACTTTCGTTAAGAAAGCGTCCCCTCGAGCGTTTAGTTTATAAAACGTTCATCCTTAATGCTGCTAAAACTGCGACGGCTTGGTCCTTCTTCTTCTTCTTCTTCTTCTTTCACAGGTTTGAAAAGGCCCTCCACCCTCTCTCTCTCTTTCAACGGTGTTTCTATCGGCACGCATTGTACCGCGAGAAATTTCACGATCCACCGAACAACTTTCTCGTTCCGTGGATTAAGCTCGCGAAAATGTTTTCCCTTTGTTTATTTCGCGAATCGTAACACTGTCCGTAGTCGAACTTTGTTACAAAATCTCGACACTGTTTCTCTTCTTTTTTTTTTGTACTCTCTCTATATTGATTTTTCTTTTCCCGCCATTTTTCTTCTTCTTCTTCTTCTTCGTCTTCTTCCTTTTCTTTTTTTTTTTTTAAATTCTAAAATCAATTAATCGAAACGATTTCTCCTAGGAATTTGAGAATTCGCGTTGCTCAAACAACTCGATCAAAAAAATTACGAACGAGCGCACCCCCTCGAGCCGAAACGAACCCTTTTTTTCCCCCACTCCCCTTTGATCGTTCCTAATTACTCGAAACGATACTTGACCACGCACGACGAGCACGTCCCTCGACGGACAATGCGCCGCTTAATTGCAGCGTTGCTCGTTACATTAAACATTACATTACAATATACGCGAGGAGGACAAGCCGTTGCGCACACCCTTTCACGGGCGCCATTAATAACCAAGAGCCTATTAATTAACGAATTACGATTAAACGTTAGTTGTTAATTATTATCGTTAAATTTACGCCTAAAGATATAATACACTAAGACGTACCTGATGATATCTTTTTCTTTTCTTTTCATTTGTTTCTCTCTTTCTCTCTCTCTCTCTCTCTCTCTCTTAACCTTTGTAAAAATTCCTCTTATTTACGCCATACGAGAACGGGTTAGCACTTGACGCGGGAAAATCGAAATCTTCTTTTTCTCGAAATCGCTTTTTCTTTGTTCTTCCTCTTTCCACTTTGTGTGAATCTCGCGTGGATTCGACAGGGGTGGGACGGGCATCTCTTTCCTGCGTCGATATTGATTTCTTAGGGGGAACACTTTTTTAACCCTTTAACCGCGTAACTATTTTACATATAACAACTATGAACAATCGAGTTAAATTAATAACGATAATATAATAAATAAAATACGAATATATATATATATATATATTATTCGAGAATAAAATTCTCAAGAATCGTTCTCGAGGGATAATTTTTCGCAAATGATGATATTTCTTTCGGAGTAACTCTCATTCTCAACGCAGTGTCCACCGGCGAAAAATAACTCTCAACTAACAATTCTTCAGAGTTATCCTCAAATTTTCACGGAATTTCTATCCACGTGGAAACGTGGGAAAGGAGGCCGCCGGATCGATAAATTCTTCGAATAAAAAACGAACGAACACCACTCGAACTAGGAGTGCACTCGGTTAAAAGGTTAATAGAACCGTAGAAGCAGCGTACACCCGTGTCTATAAATTCGGCGATTCTAACCATCGATTTCAATCGCTCACGTTTTTTGCAAAACTCCTCCTCCTCTTCCTCCTCTTCTCTCTTTTTCATTCAAAAAAAAAAAAAAAAAAAAAAAAAAAAAAAAAAA